TATAGTATTGTAAAGATGCAACAAAGGAAAAGTTAAAAATTTTATATTTTTTTGTACAATATTTGTTTTTAATTTTATATTTTACATTTTAATGTATTCAGATATATTTAATAAAATTGTCTGACATCGGTTTCTCTTAAATAACTTTTTTTAATGGAAAAAGTACGTAAACGTAGCACATATTTAATAAATAAAGAGGACAAATTGAAAAAGGTAGGTACTTAACATTCTTTTCTGTTTAACACCTACAGGAAACAATTACTTCAGTACTAAACATCAGCCTGAACATTCCCAAAATGTGAACACCAATTTGGGGACAATTTATTGAATACTTAAGATTCTCATGAAAGCAGTTTCTTGTCTATTTTCGGAGTTCGTAGGAGCATTAAGCTCCTTCTTCTTATTCTTCTTAAAAAATAAATGAACATATTAACCTACGACCTACTTTAGGACTAAAGTTCTTTTGTTTATGCTTATAAAAAGTTTTAAAAGGAAGAAGGAAAATGGAAATGGCGTGTAACAGATATACGTTAGAACAAAAATAACACACGCATCAAGGTTGCAACAGTTTTTATTTGATATAATGTAATATGTTTATTTATATTCTCTACTTTATAAAGAAAAATTACTGTTTCGTTATGCAGGAAAACATTTCTAGAATAGATGAAAGAATGACTGAACTTTACCTACCAACAATTCCCATGTGTCAAAAGTTTTACCAAGCATGTAAGTGATTATTAGAGAAATCGGACATAACTAAGTGTAAAAAGTCATTTAAGATGAGGCATGATGTAATTAGTTTTGTAATTTAGTAATCCAAATAAATTGACCATGCTATAGGCTTAGCAAATTTTCACAATACAGAGTGAAAAGGGTTGCGATCAGTAGAGTTCAATATAATTCACAGTAGGCCCAATTATTTCATTTATACCTACATATTTCGCAATATACCTTCGGTAACATTGTCTGTAGTAGTAAAAGTTATAAATATATATTCATAAATTTAAACAGTATAACTTTCTATACTCAATATATTTATTGCATTTCATCACAATCATCATCCTAAGGTCGTCAGTCATAAGAATGGTTGGACACGCACCTCCACTCTTTCCTATCCTGAGCTAATCTTCGCATTTTCCCAAAACTAGAACAATCCACATCCTTAACTATTTGCGAACAGTAATCTAATGTACGTTTACATCTACCCCTCCTAACTTTCGTTTCTGCCTCCAATATGTCTCTGTCTAGACCTTCATGCCTGAGAAGGCGTCCTACCAACCTATCTCGGCTATTTCTTATTGAATTCCATAGAGTCATCTGTTCTCCTATTCTTTCTAATTTCTCTTCATTTTTAACCTTCTCTATCCACGGTATCCTCATCATTGGCCCGTAACACTAAATTTCTGTCGCGCCCACCATTCGTGTTTCGTACCCGTACAGCGCCACGCTCCAAACGTACAATTTTAATTGCATTTATCCTGTAAATATTATTTCTTTCAAATGTAATGCGGCTATCCTGGTCCATTTTGAGCTTCCAATTTTCTACAGGCCGTTCGAACATTTCGGGTGATATTAGGTGAATGATTTGAATAATGTTAGCTTCCAATCCCTTTATTGTATACTAGTAACCCGCCCCAGCTTCGCACGGGTGCAATGCCGATACTAAATATATTTTTGTTTTGTTTAGATTATTATCGAAAAGGGGAAATCTTCAAAAGATACCCCCTGAACATACTAAATATACTACAGAATGTCTTTATATACAACATTCACAGTTTTTTTGTCATTAGACAATACAAACCGGCCTCCCGGCCGGTACCGCCGCAACCGCTATGTCCCTGCATTTTAAATCTGTAATATCTTCGAAAATATTCATTTAAATTACATGCTGTAAAGGGCCATATTGATCTATATTAAATGCACAATGTATTTAAGGTACTTAATTGGATAAGAATTAATGCTGTATTGCCTACAATCGCTTCGTAAATAAGTCATTATTTCTCATAAAAAGTAAAGGATAAAAATGGTTATTGTGGGTTATCCCTAAGAGATAGACATATACCATCGCGGACTTTTTTGTAGACCCTTTTAAGATGTACAATATTGTAGTATATTATTTTGATCTATCTCGTAGGGTTCAGCCAGCGTTTGCAATGTAAGCGCAAAAAATGTGTTTATTTACGACATCACATTAGAAACCTCTAAAATTATCAGTATTTCTCTGCTATATTATGCATGTATTATACGTATAAACCTTCCTCTTGGATCACTCTATCTTTAACAAAAACCGCATCAAAATCCGTTGCGTAGTTTTAAAGATTTAAGCATACATAGGGACAGACAGCGGAAAAGCGACTGTTTTATACTATGTAGTGATAGCCAGGTTTTCTACTATATATATGTAGACATAGGGCATTCCGTAGTACCAAACGAAAGTCTATTATTCCAATTTACCGGGCTGAAGAGCGAAATAACTGTTCTAACTACTTCCATCAACCCATAAATCACATCAAACGGTTGACGATGACCAACTGGAACGTTCATCGACATTAATTCTTGAAACGGATTAATTTGTATGCTTTAAAATTCAATTTCTTTCATAAAATACTCAAAGCCGTTGCATACGACAAGCCAAGTTGTTGAAAACAGCTCTGACTCGAGTCTCTGAAAGCGAGACTCGAGTCTCCTTCTCTCATCGAGTCTCTCTGGTGTCGCTGAGAGAGACTCTCAAGAGACTGTCAAAAAAACCGTTTAGCGTCTCTAAACGAGAGACTCGAGTCGCTCATAGAGATCCTCATTTCGTATCCCGTCTCTGAACGAGAGGCTGGAATCTCTGAACGAGAGACTCGAATCTCTCAATAAGTGGTGTCTCGATAGACATGGTTAAAATTTCAACATATTTCAGAGATCCCAGTCTTTTTACGAGAGTTTCAGTTTTAATCATTCAGTCTCTCTGGGAGACACTCGAATCTCTGAATTGGCAATTTTATCGTTAGAGTCTCTCATACAGAGACTGTGAGAGATCCATAAAAACACCTAGGCAATAACTGAGAGACTGTAAAAGACTGTGAGAGACGCTCTCAGAGACGCTGAAAGACTCTGAGAGACTGGAGAGAGTGAAAATTTTTGTCTAGGGACTTTGTTTATGTTTTAGTGTTCACTGATCAGTTCCGAGATCATCAATCACGAAATTGTATTAAGGTACAATGAGCATGTGAATTGTCATTACACTCTGCTTGTAATAGAATGATAAATCTTGCCAACCGTCAGTTTAATTAAATTAGAAGTGAATATTGTAAAAAAACCTATAAAATAAATTATTTTTGAAGCAAAAAGTTTTAATATCTTACATTACTTATTAACGAAAATTGTTTGTTTGACAGTCAGGTAATTGCACGTATATTACAAGACGATTATAACTTTTCAACTTGTTAGTAAGTTTTGAAACACTTAGGTATAAAAAACATGATTTATATTAATTATGGGTATTATTAAAAAAATGTGAAGTCATCATTTGTCATTACCTAATGTGATTTTGCGTCAATGTCTTTTTATGAAAAGGATGTGACACCATCATAAGGTCTAGAAAATAGTTCAGGAGTACTCTATTTACAATTTAATAATTCGTCTATTTGCATACATTTAAATAACTTGTATAAAATCTCCAAAATGTCTACATATACAAATTACACCCATAAACTATGAGACAGATTATAATTTACTACTTCAGGAGAGGTCACGACAAACTTATGATGGTGAATTATTTTTTTCTATTTCGAGCATTTTCAAAGCAAAAATTTTCAGCCACACCTACGGTTTATTCGACCCCACCAATTACTTATCTAGTTCCTTGTTTTCGTATATATAAACACCGTGGTGAAATTTTTAAATCATAATTTAATTTTGTGCGATCAAAGAAAACAAACAAAGTCAAGATGAAATCGGTAAGTGCACTTAAACATATATTATACATTTAGGAGTTTGTTCAATTTAATTGTATTAGTATTTAGTATTTAGTTTTATTATAATTGCAGAATTGATTTTATTTGAACAGTAAATATAGAATTTAAATTCGTTGATTTTCAGATAATAACATTGTAAGAATTTTGTTATCCGACGTTTCGTTAATCCGCATGATTGAAATCTTCAATTTTTTATTATAATGTAATAATGTTTTTTTATTAAAACTTCAATTGCTAATTATCATCTCCAACCAACAATTATTTGGTTGATTTCTTGCACTAATTACACAAAATAAAAATAAAAATTTGGTATCGATATCGATATATAACTATTTATTGTTGACCTATTCAGGTAAAAATAATACGTAATAGATAAATGGATATGTCAATAAATAAAAATTATTTTATAACTATAAGCATGTACAAGTTTTGGGGTAAATACATTGTCTATTATTAAGACTATGTATCCATCACTTTATCACATATTACTTTTGCATGAAGAAGTCAACAATAAGTAGCTGACGAAACGTCACAAATCAGAGTGTGATGTTATTAATCCGTTTTTAAGAGAATTACAAGTTAATTAACATCTGGTTAAAACAAATCTCTTAAGAATTTTACTACTTGTTACTATAAATGTTATAACTTACGTTTTTTGAACCNACCTATGTACTACTACAATGCTCTCCAAATCCTTTTTTAATTTTTGATTATTTACAAAACTTTTTATTTTTTTTAAATTGATAGTTAATAATGCCTAATGTAAACTTAGTTGTATTATAGTATTTACAGATCTTAAATTGAAAGCAGTAAGTCGTAGAATACGAAATATAATTAGATTGTGCCTTTTTTTTAAATTATTCATTTAATTTTCGATAATACTATTTCATTTTAGATTACCAAATAACTGTTTTAAGATAATGTTATCGTAACATGAAAAGATTTTATGTAAATTTGTTTCACTTCAGTTATCTTATACTTGGTAATATTTTATAAAAAGATGATTTTGTGTTTATTTATTATTGAGCAATATTCTACAACATCTGCGCCTCCTGTAATATTGTTGCTTCAGTCCGTAATGCAGATATTATCGTGCAGAAATGTAATAAGTACACTTTCGGTTAGTACCTACAGGTAGGTACTTGTCGTTTTAATCCATTTGCAATGCAACATAATACGTTTTTATAAAAACTGGATCTTCTCATCGACCACGACCTTCACTAATACGGAATAAATGAATATGTTTGCTTTAGTAAATATAAGACAGGTGCAACATTCTTTCAGGTCTATAAAAAATAATGATCTCTTTGCAGATGATCATTTTCGCCGCCGTCCTGGCTTTTGCCTTTGCCATTCCCTCTCCGAAAGCTGATCCCAAGCCTTCCGGTGTTGCCGCCTACTCAGTACCAGCCGTGCCCTACGTTTATGCCGCTTCTGCTCCAGCAGTATCTTATTCGGCTCCGGTTTCTTACGCAGTTCCAGTCAGCTACTCTTCCTACAGCGCCCCCGTTGTATCTTACTCTTCTTACCCTTACTCATACGGCTACGCCGGTGACCACTACGTTTGGTAATTTCATTATAAAAATATGCGAAACTGAGCCCTTTTGTACTAAATTTCCGTTTTGTAAATAAATGTTGACAGTTACATTACTTGCTTGTTTACATTCTACTATTCGAACCCTCTCTTTTTTTCGACTTGTTTGGATTAAAATACCAATGGGACAGTCCATAAAATATGTTTTATTATTTTACCCCTCCTTTCCCTTATTTGCGAACGTATTTTGTAAAAGGCCCCAATAGCATCACAACTTTGAGGTAGAATCAGTAGATATTGTCATTTAATAGCAAACTGTCTGCACCATGACTTGAATGGTAGTGTATAGATGACAAATACATAATTCAACTCCAATTGAGCATTGTATTTGTTTTTAAGCAATTAAAACCGTAAGAATTGTGACTTTGTTAGATCTTTTGCTTTTATTATGGAACCTTTCAATACTGGATAAACATGTAATACAGTAAAAGTTCCTTATTCACGGTTTCCTTATTCGCGTTTTCACTATTCGCGGGTGAAAAAATTGTAATCCAGTTCCTGTATTCGCGGCTAAGAATTTCATTATTCATTTATTAAGGGGATTGACAGCAATAGACCGCTCGAGCCTAGTGTGAATTTTTCTGAAAACATGGGTTCCTATTCTCAACATTGTGATTTAACGCTGTGAGATAAATATGTGATTTTTTGTATGGTAACAGATAAAGGTTTACACTCATTCGGTAAGTTTTTGGTTTTCAAAAATACGTTCATTGAAAGTTTTACAAGTGCTTAAAGTTGTTGCTTCTTGTAGGACACGTATTTTCAATAGAAATTAAAAACAAAAAAATGGCCTTCGACAAGCTTTAGAACAAACCTTTATCTATCTTACTACAAAATTTCAAACCCCTGTTCCAAACATTAAAGTCATGATATTTAGAACCGATAAACATATTTTTACTCTACAGCGTGTGTACTACTGAATCCTCTCAATGTATCGGCATCTTTTGACTATGCACTGTTGGTACGTACCGAGGCAGCTTTTATAAAAGATGTAACCAAGTAAACAGAAAAGGATTGGGTGTTATTTTTCAATGTATCGGCATCTTTTAAGTACTGTTGGCTCGTGCCGAGGCGATTTTATGAAAGATGTAACCGAGTGGACTAATTCAAAATTGAAAACAAGCAAAAATCACTAAATTTTTTAAAGCCTTGTCTAAAGGTGAGTATAACGATTAATTTTAGTTGCGAATTTCTCAATAAATTGATTTTATTTTGATAAACATTGGTTTTATTTTGGAACCTTAGAACGTATCCCCTATGATTCCGTACTAATTACCATTCCATATCCATGGTTTCTGTATTTGCGGCATATTTATGGAACGTATACCCTGCGAATAAGGAACTTTTACTGTATAGTACTGGTGTGGTTTTGGTAATCTTGCATTGATGGCTGATACTGATATCATCTGCTATATGTAAGAATCTCAATAATACATAGACATCTTAACTTCATCTAATTTAGTTTTTAAATCGTAGGCCAAAGTTGGTAAAGTGGCTGTTTTAGTAATTGATGCAAGCCTAACTTTACAAATTGAAAATCCAGATGAAGCATTACGTTTTCCTAATGATAACAAATTTTCCGTCAGTGAAGATGTCATAAAGTGGTTCAGCTGAGGAAGACCTTACATGGTCCTAGAACCGCCTGAGGTATTACAGCGGTTTTAGTCGGTAGGTCTGAGGACACCATCCTCCGGAGTTTACACGGTTGGATGTTTTACGAAGATTTTCCTTCTTCCATGAAAACAAACAACAAAGTGCAGGTTTGGTTTATCATGAATAGCTTTTCGTTATAAAGAATCAAGTAAGACACCCAATGGTGACGTTTAACGTGACGCTGAATATGACTTTTAAGGTAATCCATGAAACAGAAAACTGCAACCCATTTTTTATTATCTGATCGAGCATTTTGATAACCTTTCTCCTTTCTGTTCCACTTTCTCCCAGTTCCTTCGATTTCAAAATGAATGAGACCTTCATAGTTATTTTCAGTTTTTTTAACAGATATAAAATGTTAAGTGTCTTCTTTCAGACTAAGGCATTTAACTTGGAGTTCCACCCCTCTACTGCGTTGTTTGTGCAGTGACGCAGCCCATGAACATTCCAAAAACTCCGCGTTATGGTACGGTTTTATAACCAGTGTTCCACGAAGTAGTCTAAAAATTCTGTTAGTCTAACGTTGTCTTCTGCAGCATCCTTCATAATAGTGAGCCAAACATCGCCAACACGTTGAAGTGGAATTTAAGCCAAAGAAGCGCATCTTCTGCATGTCTGTGTAACAAAACGAGCAGATTCATCGAAAACTAAAAAAAAAAAAATATTATGCGATAAAACTGGGTAAAATATGACAAAAAGTAGAGCAACTTTGAGCATCGATATCTCAATGAGTACAAAACAAAACTAAAAAAAGAAAAGGTGTGATGTTTCAAAGGCTATCTTTTCTCTGAACATTCATATATATATATNAAGGGGACTATGTTGAAAAATTAAAAAAAAAACTATAAAAAAAAGGTGTCTTCATTTCTAACACGGGTACTTATTGAACCGCCCTCGTACTTCAACTTCAGTAGATACTTCAATGAAATTGCATATAAAAAAACAAGAATAAGATAAAATATTTCGAAGAAAAATTTAATTTTCTAAAAAAAAGTATTGTAAAATTCCTGAAAATTGCTTTCTTTTGAGTTATTTGGAGAAAACTAGAAGAGCTACCTTTTACTTATTACTCAAAAACGTACCCCTTACAAAAAGGCAATTTGTGGTTTTATAGGTTGCCATATTCAAGCATAAAACCCCTTTATGACAATTATTTCATACTTCAGCAAAAATTAAAATCGTACTTTTGAAATTTCAGAATATTATTCATTGTTATAAAGTGTAGTTTTTCTTCGTATTTAGGAATGTCTGTAAAATTCCCACTCACTTTTCAAATTAATAAGCCTGTGATTTATTTTATTAGTATTTAAATTCGTTTTGATTGACATTATAAGAAACGCTTTTCTTTCTTTAAGTGAAAATAATAATGAAAAACGTAAACTGATCACATTACGCGGTTTAGTGAGAAAAATGTAACAAAACAGTAAACAATTTTCCATTTGGAATCCTGTCAGTTTCAGACTAACAACTAATTTCTGTTCAATTCCCGTTTTTGTTTCTTCCGCATTAATTATTAGCACACATTTTCTAGCCATTGCCTTACATTGAGGTCTGCTTTTGTGAAAATTCTAATTATATCCATGTACAAACAACAGTTTTCAAATGAATATTTGGATAGGCGTTTACGTGATTGAGTAATTAGAATTAAACGAAAGAATCTTCTCGCAATGAATACAAGTAGAATGTGTTGCTTGTATTTTATTTTAGCCACTATCATCATCATCATAAGGTCATCAGTCCTAAGACTGGTTGGACACGTACCTCCACTCTTTCCTATCCTGAGCTAAACTTCGCATATATCTCTAAAACTAGAACAACTCACATCCTTAACTATTTGCGAACAGTAATCTAATCTAGGTCTACTCCTAACTCCTGTTTCTGCCTCTAATATGTCTCTGACTAGACCTTCATGCCTAAGAAGGTGTCCTACCAACCTATCTCGCCTATTTTTTATTGACTTTCATAGAGTCCTCTGTTCTCCTATTCTTTCCAATACCTCTTCATTTCTAACCTTTTCTACCCACGATATCCTCATCATCCGCCTATAACACCACATTTCGAACGCATCTAACCTTTCCTTTTCCGCCGCTCCCACTGTCCATGTTTAACACCCGTACAACGCCGTGCTCCAAACAAACAGACTTCTTTTTATTAAAGGCGACACGACCCTGCGCTATCCTCTGCTTTATATCCCCACTACTCCTTCCATCCTCACTTATCTGACTTCCTAGGTATCTAAAATCAGCCACTTCTAATTTTTCGTCTCCTATCTTTATATTCGCTCTTTCCTTAGTTTTTCTTCCCTTGCATATCAGTATTTTAGTTTTTAGCCACTAATCCAAAAAGTATACATAGTGTAATAGAAATAAGTGCCGAGCTTGCAGGAGGTGATAGAGCACTATAAAATATGAAAATTAAGTAAAAAATGTTCGGTGGTTGCAGTATTCTATCACTGCCACATATACTCTTTCGGATTTTACTGTTGTTCATGACTCGTTTGTTTGTTTTCTATTTTGTACAATATGACACTCTCATAATAAAGTGAATTTTATGTATTTATTTATTTAGCACCTCCACCATATCATAAAGAAGCGAATTTATATGTTCAGAAATGGGACATAACTATTTCAATCTAATATTGAAAGTGGATTATACAATTTAGAATGACTAGTTAACAATCTAAATATAGTTAATTAATTATAAAAGAGCCGTTTCCCTACCCTGCATCTTCGTGAGTTTTACGGATAACAATTGAGAAAACAATAGAAAAAGGAAAATATGCGTGCATATCATAGGATTTGTAGATTTAAAAAAGCTTTTGACAATGTTAAGTCAGACAAGGTGTTAAATATACTTATAAATGTAGAGATGAGTTACAAAGATAGAAGAGTGATACTTAGTTTGTATAAAGAGGAACAGGCAGTTATAGAGCTGACGCTGCAACGTGGAGAAGTGAATATTAGGAAGGGAGTCAGACAGCAGTATCAGCATCTAGCAAGGAGGCGTTAGAGTTTAAATAAAATGGAAGCATTATTAACGAAACAGCATTGTATAAAAATAAATAAAAGTAAACCAAAAATATTGGTATGCAAGGGAAGAAACAGTTGAGAAAAAGCGAATATAGTAGACGAAAAATTAAAAGAAGTGACTGATCTAGGAAGTCACATAAGTCAGGACGGAAGGATTAGTAGGGATATAAAGCATACTAGGATAGCGCAGGGTTGGGTCGCCTTTAAGAAGTCGCTTCTATGCTTGCGAACGGTTAATTTGGAAATTCGAAAAAGATTGTTTAAGGTGTATGTTTGGATCGCGGAGCTATACGTGTGCGAAATATGGGCGGTGGGCGCGGCGGAAAAAAGATTAAAACCGTTCGACATGTGGTGTTACAGGTGAATGATGGGGA